GATCCGTTCACTTGGTCCCTAGCTACAAAGGTCCCAATGACAGTGTGACTTTCTTTTTATAACTTTTATTGATTTGTTTTCTTTTGTTTGCATCTGGGCTGTCTATGGCACCTTTGCTGGCCTAAAACTCTCTTTGTAGCTCTGGCTGGCCTTGAACTTGAGGCAAGCCTCCTGTCTCTGCCTTTCAAGTGCTGTGTTTACCCCATCCGGCACTCCAAAATTACTTTCACTGTACATTTCTATATACATGCTCGAATGCTAGTTTGAATGTGTGTTTGTATCTCTGTATGTTTCTGTATGTCTTTGTGTGTCTCTACAAGTGTATCTGTGTGTATGTCTGTATGTCTGTGTGTCTATGTGTATCTGTGTGTATGTGTTTGTGTATATCTGTATGTTTGTATGTCTGTATGTATGTGTCTATGTGTATCTGTGTTTATGTGTCTGTGTGTATTTGTGTGTATGTGTCTGTGTATCTGTGAGTCTGTGTTTCTGTGTGTGCCTCTATGTGTGTGTCTGTGAGTCTCTGTGTGTATATGTATGTCTGTGTGTGTCTGTGTATGTGTCTGTGTGTCTTATGTGTATGTGTCCATGTATGTCTGTATGTCTCTGTGTATGTATGTGTCCATGTGTGTGTTTCTGTGTATATGTGTCTGTGTGTGCCTATGTGTGTCTCTATGAGTCTGTGTGTGTCTGTGCATGTCTACGTGTGTGTATATCTGTTTGTATGTGTGTGTGTCTATGTATGTGTATCTGTGTATGTGTCTTGTGTGTCTCTATGTGTATGTCTGTGTGCATGTGTCCATGTATGTCTGTATGTGTCCCTGTGTATTTATTTGTGTGTGTGTGTCTGTGTTCTTCTCCATGTGTCTCTCTGTGTCTGTGTATGTATGTCTCTGTGTGGGTGTGGGTGTCTGTGTGTATGTGTCCATGTCTGTATGTGTTTGTATGTGTCTGTGTCTGTCTGCATGTATGTGTCCATGTGTCTGTTTGTCTGTCTGTGTGCTCCTATCTTTCCCCTGGGTGCTGACTGGGTGCCTGGTCTCTGGCTCTCTGGAGCTACTGTTGAAATTTTTTTCTGGCCAAGAGCCCACACCCTGGGCTTGGTTGGACAGTCTCCTTTGGGGCAAGGCCTCCTGCCAGCCTCACCTCTCTCCCTTGAGTTTCAACTCTTCTGCCCTGGTTGACCAATCACAGCCCAGAGCCTGGAGTCAGACAGACCTGTTCCCATCTAGCTGCCACACTTGGCAGGGTATTAAGCAAGCCTTTTAATCCTCTGTTTCCTCAGCTTACAGAATATAGCCAGTACCAACCTCAAGAGGCTATTGTAAGGGATCAGTGGAGTAACTTAACAAGAGCAGAGCCTCATCCTGAACCCGCGGCGGTCCCAGGCCACTTGGGCTGCAAGCGTGAAGAGGTAAAGCAGTTTGGGAGGTTTTCTTTGGCGCCTCGCCCAGCCTTACTCCCTATTGTTTCCATCATTGTCTATCCTGCTTTTATTAAATAATGACCTAGAACCTACTTGTGTTGTAATGAACACTTATACTGGCCAAGGGGATCAACATTATTAGTAATCAGAATGACGGTGGTAATAATAAACGCTTGTTGCTGTAGCCCTTCCAAAAGCTGAGTGCTTTGAGACCTGCAATGATTGTTCCAGACTGGGCTACGGTTGTCTTTGATTTCTGGTTCCCAACACTCATCCCGTAAGCCACTGTGCTCATCTTGCCATGGGTGTTGCAGGGCCCATCTTTGACTGTGCAGCCTACAGCACAAGAGAGCCAGAGCCGGGGCCCAACCAACCAGAGAACAGGTCGGAGGGCGCAGAGTGGGATGCTCCCAGCCAGGGAAGTTCTACACCAATGTGTGGATTACAGTGACACAAGGGATCGGCTAGATGGCTCAGCAGATAAGTGCTTGCAGAACAAGCCTGGTGACCTGAGTTAGGTCCCCAAACCCACTTCGAAATGAACAGAGTCATCCTCTGACCTCCCCACACATGCCATACACAGGCACACACACATGCACACATGTACACACTAATAAATTGTCAAGATTTTTGTTGTTGTTGTTGAAAGTGACACACAAGGAATTAAATGACAAAGACAGTCAACACCCATGGTGGCAGAGCTGCTCTTCTCTGAGAAGCCTCCACCTGCTGTCAGCTCAGAGCCTCAGGCAGGAAAGGAAGGATTTTCAGGAGACCGTTGGCAGAACTTCTTAACACTAAGGCTTCCTACACCCACAACTGGCAAGCTTCTCGGGACTCATAAGCAGCTCACAAACATGGCACATCTGGGTAGGAAGCTACTGCATCCAAACCAGGGGACTCAGTCTCCCCCAGACCCAGAGCACTCTGATCATGTTTGGGTTTTGGGAGCCATATGCTTATGTTGTGTTTTGGTTTGTCTTTTGTTTGTTTATTGAGGCAGGTCTCATATAGCCAAGATTGGCCTCAGATTTGCTATGTAGTGGAGGTTGGCCCTGAACTCTTGTTTTTCTGCCTCTGCCTTCCAAGTTCTGGTATCAGTCATGCCCCACAGCTGTTTTGTCTTTTTTCAGGTAGGGGAGGAGGTGTCAGCAGCCTGCTTATCTCCATGGCTGGACTGTGTAACTCTTTTTTCTCTCCCTTCCTTCCTTCCTTCCTTCCTTCCTTCCTTCCTTCCTTCCTTCCTTCCTCTTCTCATGAAGGTGTAAGGACAACCCTCTCACAAGCAAGGGCTAGGGACTCTACATGTGCCTAATTCTAGGGCACATTAATCCTACATGTCCACAGCTCTGAATCCCTTTTTTTCTTTTCTCTCCTCCTCTTCTTCAGGTCTCTCTGTATAACTCAGGCTGTCCTAGAACTGTCTATGTAGCCCGAACTGGCCTCAACCTGGGATGATCTCCCTGCTTCTGCCTCCTAAGGGCAGGAGTTTATAAGCATGTTCACCATGCCCAACTAGAATCTTAGGAATCTTGATCTGAAGTCTTAATTTCCAGTCTTTCTTGGTCAATGACCTTGGGGAGGCTTCATAGCCCTTCTGGGGCTTGGAGTGGCCTCTAAGACCTACTGTGCCCGAGAGGTTCCTGACACTCAAGACACAGTTCAGGGACACACGGCCACAATACCTCACAGCATGTCAGACACGTGCTGTCATAGGTCCTGCCTGCCCGTGGGATCAAGATTCACATTTTAAAATGATTTCAGATGCTTCTCATGCTCATTGAAGCCAAGAGGCACTGGCAAAGGCTCCAAGTCCTAGGGACACTCTGCAGAGACAGTTCTAAGGGTGATTGTCGATACTCTGGTGGGCCTTAGTCAAGTCACCCTCTCTCTCTTGAGCCTTTTCTGGAATGACAGGAGATTGCTGCACACTGATGGCTGTGTGCCCTCCAGACCTACTAAGTTCTAATTAAGAACAATACTTCCTTCATGCCGAACTCACCAGCATGGGAATCCCAAAGCTAAGAGCTATAACCCTGCCTGGGCCACCCCAAGAGCAGGCTCCTCATCCTGCTCCATGGCCCTCCTTCTTATCCTTCCTCAGTCCTATTCACATCCCACTAGTTGCAGTAGAAACCAGCATCTTGCACCAACATCCTCTCTTCAACCCAGGTTTGCTCCAATGCTTCCTCTCCTTCCTTATCCTACCTCGGACAAGCCTGTCTTACTGAGGAGAGTTCCAAAACCTTTCCCTGCTTCCCTACACACACCCAGAGACCCCTCTTCCTTACCCATGATTCATTAAGCACCTGCTGGTACAAGGTATGGTGCCAGGATGTAATCCAAATGGCCAGCACTAAACAAGACAGCCAGGGTTCCTGAGCTCCAGGAGCAACATAGCTGCCCCTCCCCCCCAAAAAAAGATAGTATTGAACACTGGCTTGAACATCAGATGTGCTGAAAGTAGAACTATATAGAAATTAGCATCTCAGTGAACAAAAATGTCACACAAATTCATGAAGATCCCACACTTCTTTCTCTTGGCCCCAGTGTGCTCACGGCCAGCCAGCCGAGCTTCTTTGGGGTAGCCCTGAATCTCAGTGTTCCAGGGACCGTCAGTGATCTAGACTCCCTTTTCCACGGGGGGCTATCCAACAAAATCATCTGTGATGTGTGGATCAGTCATTCTCAGGACCAGGCTGGCTCCAGTCTTAGGGTAGCCTAGGAAGCTCCCAGGGCAGGGGCTGTGGCTCTCTCCCACCAAGAGGAGAATGGTGTCAAAAAGGCATCCACAGCCACAGGAACTTGGAGCAGCAGTACAGCCATGTTGAGAACACAGGAAGGGATGTAGCCCAGCAGGGTACAACTCTGGCCCTGGCCAGACACATCTCTGCCATTGAGAAACCATTAGTATTTGTTTATTCTATCATCAATCACTTATTGACCACTGTGCACCAGGCATTTGGGCTTTGGTGAAAACAACACAAAAATCCTCACCCTTTTCAAATGTGAAGTTGTTGTGGAGTTACCAGAATTAGGGAGAGGGTGGCCAGTGTGGTGGTATATATATGCCAGAAATCCCAACACTCAGCTGGTGGAGGCGGCAGGATCAGGAGTTCAAGATCAGCTTCAGCTACATAGTGTGAGACAGCTTTAACTACATGAGAACCTGTCTCACAACAACCAAAACGTTAGCAGTATGTATGTATGTATGCATGCATGTATGTATGCCGCTGTTCCTCTACTCAAAGTAAAGAAAATCATTTCCTTTTCAAAAACAAAATCCTGCCGAGTCTGAAGGACAGTTTGTCTCTCTGTCTAAATCCCCCATCTTGGGTCAGGACAGAAGAGTGCTTGCCTTTTCTCCTTGGGCTTTGACCCCAGCTACTACCTGGAGGTAGCCTCTGAGCCAAGGAGTGCCTCACAGGTTCGGGCTTACCCTGCACACAAGGAAACTGGTGCCTCAGCTCCCTTTCTGTCTGGGACTCTTTTCTTCCTTCCTTACCTGCACTCTTTGTCTTGTTTTCAGCAGGCCTGAGGTCCACACTGAACCCTTTCTCTCCTACCATATGCCATGCACCATAACCGCTCCCTGGAAGGCAGCGTGACCGCCCCTGTCAAATACTGGATCTCAGGTGAGACTCCCTGCTCTTGAAGTTGGCTTGGGCAGGGACTGAGAATGGTGGGTGACCCTCGCACTCCCCTACCCCAGGACTGGCCTTCCCGGACTGGGCCTACAAAACCGAGTCGTCGCCAGGCTCCCGGCAGATCCAGCTGTGGCACTTCATCCTGGAACTGCTGCAGAAGGAAGAGTTCCGCCATGTCATCGCCTGGCAGCAGGGAGAGTACGGGGAGTTTGTCATCAAGGATCCAGATGAAGTGGCTCGCCTCTGGGGCCGCAGGAAGTGCAAACCACAGATGAACTATGACAAGCTGAGCCGGGCCCTCAGGTGAGAAGAGGTGGCCAGCAGTACAAGAGGCAGAGTTCAAGGAAAAGGGCTGTGGCTCCTGGCCCCCTTGGCTGCTTCCCACTGTGCCAGGGCTTGGGAAATGCCCTTGCTGTGGGAAAATGGCTGGTGTCCTCCATTATCTGCCAGACTGATGGAGGAGACACTGAGTCCCTTCCTTCCTTGATTCTCTAGGTATTACTACAGTAAGAGGATCCTGCACAAGACCAAAGGCAAAAGGTTTACCTACAAGTTCAACTTCAGTGAGCTCACTGTAGCCAGCTGTCCTCCATGGAAAGTGTGGGCACCCTCTGCCCCTCACCTGCTGGTGGGGTCTGCTGCATTGTGTCAGCCAGCCTTGGTGCCTGTGGCTGTGCAAAGCGAGGTAGGCATGAAGGCAGTCGTGTCCTCAGAGCTCTGGCAGGGCCTGTCCTTCTGTCCTGAAAGCCCCAGGCCACTCTCCACCTTAGAGACCTACTGGTCTCCAGTGTTCTTCTGTCTTCTAGTCCCTGAGCACTCCAGGATCTCCTCTTTGTGATCCACACCCACCTGTGAGGAAGGATGATTTCTGTGCTAGGCATCATGTTTTAGTGGGAAGGATGGGGGTACAGGGAAGGACCGAGGCATCTGAGACAGCAGGCAACCCACAGCAACCACTGACCGCTTAAGAATCAGTTTGGAGCCGGACAGTGGTGGCGCATGCCTTTAATCCCAATGCTCGGGAGGCAGAGGCAGGTGGATCTCTGTGAGTTCAAAACCAGCCTGGTCTACAAGAGCTAGTTCCAGGACAGCCTCTAAAACCACAGAGAAACCCTGTCTCGAAAAAACAAAAAGAAAATTTTAAAACAGAATCAGTTTGGGAATATTTTGTCATATTAACAAGTGGATGACAGTTCTGGTATGTCTTAGAAGACTAGATACCAGAGAGAGCCTGTCCCACCGCAGCCTCCTTTCTCCTCTCTCTTTAGCCCCTGCATAGCATGCTGTATACCCACCGGGCCACAGAAGCGCAGCTGGCTAGAGAAAGGACCTCATGGGAGCCACTGGAAACCTCTGGGGAGAAGGGGAACAGAAACTTCAAGGGTGAGTGTTGAGGACCAAATTGGTGGGGATCTTAAACAAAAGAGGGGAGTCTCCTAGGGCCCATCTGGCCAAGCATATGCCCAGGGAGGCAAGCGACAAGAAATCTTCATTCATTCAAATGTTTAGTGACTCTATTTACTAGGCACGGGGCTCAAACACGAAAGACGGACAGTTAGAAACATAGTCTGGGAGGAAGTAGAGATGGGAGGGTTACTAGTTCCTACCGATGCTGGGGGGCACAGAAGGGGACTCTGGGCTCCCTGGAAGTGGGGAAGGAGGGCAAAGATGCCCTGGAATAGGAAAAGAGAGATCTGTGAGCATGTGTGGCACATCTGGAAGGTGCTACTGTTAGTGTAGCATCAAGGAGGGTGGGAAGGCAAAGGAGGTGTGGGAGGCAGATGCCAGGCCAACAGCTACCCAAATCCAAAAGGTCTCAGAAATCATTTGAAGACGGCTGGACTTCCTATGGGCGGGGGTCCAGGAAGAAGAGATACATTTAGATTTTCATCTTATTTTTTTGTTTTTATGCTACGGGTGATGGGCCTCTATATACTCATGGAGTACTCTACCAACTGAGCTGCATCCTTAGTCCTTAGATTTCATTTTATAAGTTATGAAAGGTTCCAATCTGACAATGACTTGACTTGGGATTTCTAGACCTTCTGGTACAATACAGAAGCAATAGGCATTCTGTGAAAGAAAACATCTAGAATTTTGAAGTTTGACCTTTCCACTGGCTATCACTAGGAGGTGCAGGGAGCTGCCATTCCAGTCATCCACCTATCGTGACAGTAAACAGCACACTGCTGAACTGACTCATTCTGTAGGTTATATACACCCAGCACACTCTTGACCCATATTATTTTCAACTCACAGAGCGTTTATCCACCTGTAACCCTATCATAAGTCAGTGCACATCTGTATGCAGGCTGTGTGTGGCTGGAATTAGAGGAGGAACCAGGCTGTCATTGGAGGGCTTTTAATTTTGTTTTCGCTATTTTTAAATTATGTGTAGGGGAGTGTATCTGCATGCGAGTATGTGCACATGAGTGAGGTGCCCTAAAGAGGCCGGAGGCATTGAATACCCGGAAGCTAAAACTATAGGCAGTTGTGAGGCCTCTGAGATGGGTTCCAGGAACAGACTTCAGGGCCTCTGGAAGAACAGAAACCCTCTTAACCACTGAGCAACCTCTCTAGCCTCCGTTGGGAATTCTGTTGTTACTGTTGTTGTTGTAAGACAGTCTAAGAAGGAGACTATCGTGTTGTGGGATGAAGAAGGAACCTCAGCTGACGAGAGGCTGACAGACAAAGCTCATATTATCCTTTCTTCTCTCATCAGATGTTTAAATGCCCCCTGTTTAATGTCAGGGTCTGAAGTTCAGATGTGAGCAATGCTGCTTTTCTAGTGCTCTTAGTCAAAGGCTGAAAGGTGGTTACTAATGGATACACAATCATAACTGCTGTATGGCCAAAGGGGACACAGCAGGTGCTAGGGACAGCATGGAAGACTTCCCAAAGCGACTGCGAAGACACCCAACATGCACACAGGCTCAGCTGAGCTTAAGGGAAGAAAGGAGAGCAAGAGCTTAAAAGCTTAGGACAGGAAGAGGGACTGGGAGCAAGCTAGTGTGACACTTCATGATGGAGTGAGGGAGGGGAGGACATTGGTAGAGGCCAGTGACTCTCTAAGCAACCAGGCCAGGCTGCCTTTGGGAAAATCCAACCCAGGCATCTTCTGCAGAGGCTCATGCCCTCCACTGCGGCAGTTTTGAGGGTTACGGCTGCCCACCTTTACCCACCCAAAGTGTGGGCCACGGTGCAGGCTGGTGGGGCCATCAGTCTGGTATCCTAGAGCTACCTAGCACATGAGGGGCTTCTCTGTTTCTCCACCCCACCATTCCCCCAGCACCAGTGCTGAAGACACCAAACTTGCCCCTTTGGAAAACTATAAGCCCCAACATTTGTACATCCTTGCTTTCCTACACGCACACACACACACACACACAAATATACATATACACACACATACATACACACACAAATATACATATATACACACAAATACACACATACACACACAAATATACATATACGTACACAAATACATACACACACAAATATACATATATGCACACATACACACACAAATATACATATACACACACAAATACACACATACACAAATATACATATACGTACACAAATACACACACATGCAAATATACATATAAGCACACATACACACAAACATACATATACGTACACAAATACACACACACAAATATACATATATGCACACATACACATACACACACAAATATACATATACACACAAATACACACATACACACAAATATACATATATGCACACATACACACACCCACACACACACACACATTCTCCCTCTCCTTTCTCTGTGCTAGGGCCCAGGCATGACGGTTTTAGGTCAGCAGAGGGCTGGTAGCATTCATGTGCCATGCTCCTGGACTGGAATCCCACTGCCTGCCCTCCCTCCACACTCACTCAGACCCTGTGGTGCCAAGAAGGAAGCCACTGTTGGTTAGGGGAGCACAGGGACACTCAACCAGATTCAGGAAATGGGGACACTCCAAAATATCTCCTCCACATGCCTACTCAGCTACAATGTGGACATAGCCCTGAACCCAGGAGCTCATGGAGTTACAACCTGTCTGTGGGACAACAGTCCTGACCACATCTAAGGGCCCAGAGGGAAAGACACTGACCGACAGAGAGATGACTCTGACTTTTAATCTCTCATAAATCTGGCTTGAGAAATATTCCTAGCTAACAACTGGCTGTATTAAGTAATACCTGATCTGCTTTCCCAGTTTTTACTTACTATATCACACCTATGTGACCCCATTAGTCTCTTAGTTAAATGATGTGGCCTTACACCCCCGCCCCCCAAAAGAAATAGCATTCCAAGAAAACAGAAAAACATGGTAAGGAGCTCTGTGTAGCCATTTCCAGAAAGCCCCACCTGGGTAACCCCTGTGGGTGGGTGGGGGGCTGGCAGGTTGGGAGGGGAAATAAAGCAGATTGGGAGGGAAAAGAATGAGGAGGCATTTTTGAGGAGGAGAGCTATGGGACTAGTATCTGACAGAAGGTCAAGGCTGTGGATCCCACGCATGGCCCTAGGCCTCACAATCATGAACTTCACAGGCCCCTTACACATGCCGTTTGCTCTTAACCAGGAGAGAGGACTTTATGGATGAGAAGGCACAGGCCTTCGTGTTCAGGTGACAAGGACTTGGTTCCACAACCAGTTCTCTACCCAGCTAAAATCTGGAGCCTTGGAGCAGGGGTAGCCAGAGTAAAGACAGACAGACTCACTGGGTTAGCACATACACTATTCATTCAGTCTCCATACATTCATACTGAGGGCGTGATCTGTACCGGATTAAGCCTGGACTAGACTCAGGGGGAAATAGCAACGCCAGGGACAGCAACATTAAAGAAATAGACACGTACCTAACTATATGATTTCTAACAGAGCCAGGTGCCCCAGGAAAGGCAAAGGGAGAGAGGAGAGCAAGAGCTCCCCACAAGGCTGGCAGAGTCTCTGGAAGTTCCATCTAGGAAGAGTATGACAACCAAATAAGAGCAAGCAAATGGCAAGGAACAAAAAGAAAAGGAGGGAGAGGGGCCTCCTGCTCAGATGAAGGGGAGGGAGAACTGGTGCCGGAGGGGGACTCTGAAGTAAGAAGGAAACAAGCTGGAGCACCACTGGGAGAGCACTTAGCTAACAGGCAGGGGCACTCAGGAGATTGGGTTAGGTTGATCAGGAGTTCAAGGCCATCTTCAGCCACAACAAATCCAAGGCCAGCCTAGCTCGAGAGACTGTCAGAGGGAAAGGGGGAGGGAGGGGAGGAGGCTGGGGAGCACTCAGAGGGAAAGGGGGAGGGAGGGGAGGAGGCTGGGGAGCACTGGGGAGGGTGCCCTCTTGACCCTTTCTCTTTCTCTCTCTAGGTTTTGGCTCAGCCCTGGGCCCAGGCTGGCGAGGCTCTTGCTGCTGCTTCCTGACCCTCCAAGGTGACCTTCCCAGCTTTGCTTCCTTCGCTGCTGTTCCCCGCCTCTGCTGTGACTTGACCCTCCCCTCAGGGCCCATCTTGCCTCCTTTCTCCTCAGAGCAGCCACTTTCAGGGTCCTCCAAGCCTGGTCCTCGGCTCCCAGGCCTGCTGTGTATGCCAGGTACCTGGCATTTCCCGGAGCTCCCCCTGCTGGCCAGGCTGAGACAGGGCCCTAGTGACAGGCTTCAGTGCCCATTTCTCAGGCCTGAGGAATTGCTGGTAAATCCAGGGCCAAAGGGTCACCTGGGTTCCAATGGGGGACTCTCCTCAGAGATTCAGGGACTCGGACTGGGGAAAGGAACTTCTATGTCCCCCAATCCAGAGACCCTTAGAGCTACGTGGCCTTTGGATCCCCCTTAGTTGGAGAGAAAGCGGTCAAGGGGGGGGCCCTCCCCTTTCCTCCAACCCCATTTTTGCACCTCCTCCTAGCCAGGACCTGGAGGGTGAATCTGGGCCAAGGTGGGGCAAACATGGGCATGAAGAAACTGAGGTGGTGCCCCGCCCCTCCTATCAAAGTGTTAGCAGACTAAGACGACACTATTAATTAATAATTAATGAGATTAAGCGTTCCCATCACTGAAATACCCCATGCCGAGGAGGGAATGAAGGCACTAGGCTGGGGCAGACATGGCTTGTTGGGTTTAAGTCTTAGGGTCTCCTTCCTCTGGATTCATTTCCCCGTCATGTCTAAGGTTTCCAGGACCCCTGCCACCCCTTCACGTGTTTTTCTGCCCTCCCTCTGACTGCTCAGCCACTAGGAGCTTCTGTCCCAGGAAGGTTCTTGCAGGTGCAGAGCGAGGGAGGAGTTGGTGTTCTCATCTCTGCAATACACCTTGCTAACTGTGAATAAAAACGCCCTTAGCCAACTGCCCTCTTGACCAAGAGACTTTCTCCAGTGCACCCCAGGCTTGGCTGTGTCCCTTCTGTGTTCCCATCATTGGTGGCACTAAATACAACCCAGGAGTCCTGCTGGGAAATGCAGAGGGGAGCCTGAGGCTTGGCATGGGACTGGGATCCTTTCCTTTACTGTCACACTTGAGAGAGAGAAAGGTGAACCACACAGAGGCTCCAGAGCTCTGTGGAAATGAGGGAAGCCGGACCCAAGCAGCAGAAAGAGCAGGGTTCTTTGCCAAAGACCTTAAGACCCCCGTAGAGGAGCGCTGGGCAAAACCCTCATGGTCAAAGTGGAAAAGGAAGCTGGTACTAAGCTCCCTCTGCCTCTGCTTGTGTTCCTAAGGGTGAGCAGCAGAGCAGACTTGGCGTACCTGGAGTTGGAGTATAGAGAACACATGAGAGAGAGGGGATTCTCTTAAGGAGATGAGCAATGTGGAGGGCTGTTGCACAAGCCAAGGCCGCTGAACCATACTGCTTTCCTGCCTCTAGGCTATCAATTACAGGGCTTGGATTTGTTCTCTGTCCTTTTCTGTGGAGCAGCTCATGAACAGGAAGGTTCCTCTGGCCATTCCAAGTTCCCCTTGGAGCCTCTCTCATATTTACTTTCTGCAGTCTCCTGGTCTTGTGACCATGCATTGTCGGTCAACTAGAATGGGTAAGAAGAACTACAGAGGACGAGTCATAACCCTCATGCACAGAAAGGCCAAGATGATCTCAAGGAGAAGGGGTCTCTGTCTCCCTCCTCAGCCCAATGTCAGAAAACAAATGCAGCTCTTTCCCAGTGTTCCCCATGGCCACAGTGAAAGCCACTTCCCACTTCCCCCATCTCAACACTGACGTCTTATCCCCAGGACTGCAGGAACCATCCCAGGGCTTTCCTATTCCCTTCTCAGTGTAGGTGATAAAGCAGCGTTGCCTAGCACAGCACCGGGAAGTGGACAGCACACTCATTGGGTCCACCTCCTGTTCAGAGTGGCTAGCCCTAAGGACAGGGGTTTCTCTGAAAAAGAAATTATGCGTTCTCTGCCTGGTCCCCACCTTCTCTTCAGTGGTGTGTGGTGATTGTAATGCCCATATTTCGGTGATGGAAACCGCTGAGCCAACATTCTATGATTGCCCTTCAGGTTAGGCAAAGCCCACCATAAGGACTCGCTTCCAGGTGGTACTCTCTTTGCAGAAGACCACACACTTCAGTGACGCAGATCTTTTCCATCTGGCACCCTTAGCATTTTCTACTATGTAATTCATTGTTATTGAGAGCTGTCCTATACACTCCTGAGTACGTATCCAGAACATGGGTCCGTACCCATAAAACAGTGCCAGCACCTGCCTCTACCCAGTGCTAGATGTCCCCTGGGAAAAGGGGACTGCTCTGGGTTGAGGATTGAGGTCCACTAAGGTCAGCAAATCCACTTTTTTTTTTGTTTTGTTTTGGTTTTTTTTTCCTGGCAAAAATGGCAGCAGCTTCCAGAAGAGATTTTGGTCTTCATGTTGCAAGAGTGCCCTCTGGTGGCTAAAAGCACTGGAAGAAGTTTGGAGGCTTAGAAACAATAGCAGGTGTTCACTGCCCTGAGTGAATGGCAGTGTGGGTAATCCCTATCCTCTCCTTTTCATTCCCGAGGGAAAATCCATGTATCACCCTATGTTAGACTCAATCTATGACATTAGGCGATTCTGTCCCTGTAAAATGTGCTTGCATGAAGGTAGGCGGAGGAGATCGATCACGGCAGGCGGCAAATATGCGGTGCACAAGACTGCTGCTGTTGGCACACCCTGCCCTGGCACTCTGCTCTAAGTAGATGTGTGGCCTAAGATTATAAGACATGTGTCTACAAGAGAGTGACAAGTTGGTTATAATCATTTCCAAAAATTAGGCATTACCATTGAATTACTACACTTTACATGACCAGCCTTGCATAGTAGGTGTAGTAGGTTTATTTACGCTGATATCGCTACAAACATGTGAGCAATAGAATCATATTGATGTCACTAGGAAGTACATATAATCTTATATGACCATATTCATACATACATACACATATATACATATATTCACACATACATACATATACATATATATTCACACACACCAGCAAATGCAATTCAGTAAACATTTATTAAATGCTTCCTATGAATTTGTTTCTTTGGTTGCTTGCTTGCTTGGTTTTTGGATTTTCGTTATTTATTGACACAGGCGAGACTCACTATGTACCCCTGGCCAGGAGCTTGCTGTGTAAACTAGGCTGTGTTCAAACTGGTAGCAATCCTCCTGTTTCTGCCACACGAGTGCTGGGATTACAAGTTTGTGCCACTATTCCCAGCTCTCTACTGTGCTTAAATGTAAGCACTGCTGTCGTTAGCATAGGGACACGATGAAAACACAGGGTGAAAAGGTGTCATTGTAATGGATTTAGTCATTGTAATGGAAGCCAGGAGTCACTCAACTGACTTCCAGAAAGGGTTGTTTTTTCAAAACTGCATTTAAACACCACTCACTGTGAGCCAGCCTGTGGTGATTTTTGAATAAAACCCCTATAGGCTTATGTATCTGCCTGCTTAGTCCCCAGCTGATGAACTGTTTGGGCATGGTTAGGATGTGTGAGCTTGTTAGAGGAAGTGTGTCACTGGGGGTGGACTTTGAGGTTTTCAAATCACATGCCAGACCCTCTCTCTCTCTCTCTCTCCCTCTCTCTCTCTCTCCCCCACCCCACCATGGATGAGGTAAAGTTTGTCAGCTGCTGCTCCGGTGACAGGCCCGCCTTTGTGCCACCACACTCCCCACCATGATGATCATGGACTCACCCTCTGAAACCTTAAGCAAGCCCCCAGTTAAATGCTTTCCTTTATGAGCTGCCTTGGTCATGGTGTCTCTTCACGGCAACAGAACAGTAAGACACCACAACAGAACAGTAAGACACCAACCATGTCCTATGTGCTTCCTATATGTCATTTCAACCAACGTAAGGGCTTTAGGAGGGAGGTCCTGTTATTATCCTACTGTGCAGGTGAAGACAAGTACAGAGAGATGAAACAACCTGCTCCAGAAGCATTCCTGGCAAGTGGCAGAGGTCGGGTGCATAACCAAGCAGTGTCCCCACCGTCTGGCCCAGATGCTCCTCCAGGATGCCAACTGCAAAGCAGAGCTTTCCAGAGTTACCTGTCACCAGCCTAAGACACTTTCACACCATCTGGACAGAAGTCACAGGTAGTAAAAGCTCTTTGAGTGCTGGTCTCTGTGTGACTCTGATTTGACAGCAAAGAGGAGCAGCAGTAGGTGGTGCTCTCTTGTGTAGGCTAGGGTGCTAGATCTCCTGCTCTATAGGGGTTCTAGACCCCGGAAGTCAAGATTCCTCAAGCCTTCTCCCAGGCTCTGCCATTGCTCCACCACCAGCACCAGCTCACCACCATCCCCCTGCAGTGGTTGATCTTGTGCTGTTCATCAGTTTCTTCAGCTTGGAGCCTAATGTTGCAACAGCTCAGGGAGAGGCAGCAGAGGCTGCACAGAAAGGGTCTCACTGCACTGAGCAGCCTGCTTACATAGTCAGAGGAAGGGTGTCTGCACCAATCACAGGCATTTACAAATGGTGCTTTGTGTTTGCACCAATCATAGCCATGCCTCTCTGCCAGTCACAGGAAGTGCCCCCCCCCTTTCTGGCTAGGTGAAAATGGTTGCAGGGTCATCTAGAGTTCACTGAGGCTTGTGGTTGCAAAGCTCCAATCGCTGCAGATTAAGAAATCAAATAGCCCCATCCCTCCAGTGTCTGCTTATTTACTGGGAAATGAACATCAAGAGTGTTTACAAGAAACTTGACATTGAGGCAAAGACTGATTCTAACAGGCCTAATAGTGGGCAATGTCTGCCGGTACCAAAGGGAGGGGTGAGGGCCCCTTATCTGTAGCTGGGTGTCCTAGTTAGGGCTATTATTGCTGTGATAAAACACCATGACACAAAGCAACTTGAGGAAAAACTTTATTTCACTCACAGTTCCATACAACAGTTCATCACGCAAAGCAGTAAGAGCAGGAACTCACTTGGGGCAGGAACCTAGATGCAGGAGCTAATGCAGAGGCCATGGAGGATGCTGTAGACTGGCTTGCTTCCTTATAGACCCCAGGACCACAAGCCCAGGGATGACACCACCTACCATGGGCTAGGCCTCCCCTTTACTAATAAAGAAAAAATGCCTTATAGCTGAATATTATAAAGGCATCTTCTCACTGGAGATCCCCACCTTTCAGATAACTCTAGCTCGTGTCAAGTTGACGTAAAACTAGCTAGCACATGGGGGTCTCAGCTGCTGTGGCCACTTTCATCCACAAAATAAAAGTGGTAAGAGAAAGCAAAGATTTTTTTTTTTTGTTCATCTGCTAGTTATAATGTAGGCTTTCCTATTTTAAAGTCGTAACAATGATATATTAGTAACAGAATATTGACCTTGAGAAGGATGGCAAGTTCAAGGCCAGCC